AGCCTTAGAAGAGAAAAGGAGAAAAGAAGAACTAGTGAAAAAACGAATTGAGCTCAAACATGACAAGAAAGCAAGAGCTATGGCCAAGAGAACAAAGGATAATTTCCATGGTTACAATGGGATTCCTATTGAGGAAAAGTCAAAGAAGAGGCAGGCAGTGGAAAGCCACACCAGCCAGGCAGTACAACAAGAGTATGAGATGGAAGAGGAGGATGAATTTTTAGAATACAATCAAGCAGAGTCAGAACAGGAGTATGAAGAAGAGCAAGTACCTCCCAAAGTTGAAAGCAAACCAAAGGTCCCCCTTAAAAGTGCCCCACCACCTATGAACTTCACTGATTTACTGAGGCTGGCTGAGAAAAAGCAGTTTGAACCAGTGGAGATCAAGGTAGTGAAGAAATCAGAAGAGCGGCCTATGACTGCGGAAGAACTTAGGGAGCGAGAATTCCTGGAACGAAAGCATAGGAAAAAGAAACTTGAGACAGATGCAAAACTACCTCCAACTGTGTCCAAAAAGGCACCCTCTCAGAAAGAAAGTGTGGGCACAAAACTTAGCAAAGGTTCTGGGGACAGGCGTCTTTCTTCTAAAGGAATGCCCTTTCCTCATAGTGAGAAGAAATCCAAACCCAGCACAGCCCATGAGAAACACTTATCAKTGTCTTCATCCAAATCCATGCCAGGAGAGAGGACCAAGGCAGGATCTGGCTGTAGTTCCCAACCCTCACTTCGTGAGGGTCATGACAGACCTGTTTTCAATGGGGCTGGAAAGCCCCACTCTAGCACCTATTCACCAAGTGTCCCAAAGACTTCTGCCAGTGGGACTCAGAAATCTGCTACTGAGCACAAAGCCAAAAAATTTCCCCCTTTTCATCCTARCCATTCCAAGCCTGGGCCCACAGTCACCCTACACAATAAGGCTAAGAGTCCAGGTACCAGGCAGCCAGGCAGCAACTCCAACTCAGCCCCTGGGAGACCCAGCCCAGGGACTGCTCGGTCCATACTTAGTTCTGGCCCTGTGCCTAGACGCCAGAATGGCAGCTCCAGCTCAGGACCTGAGCGCTCGGCCAGTGGGACCAAGAAGCTAGTCAGTGACTCAAATCCTTCTGGGCGGACAGTCACTGGTACAAATGGCCCTGGACGACCTGCAACCATTTCAAGTGGCCCTGGGCGACCCATCAATGTCTCAGGTAGTTCTGGGAGACTTGTAGGCAGTTCTGGAGGCCCTGGGCGGCCTACAAGCAGTCCACATGACCTTCGACAACCGGTGACTAGCTCAGGACCCCCGGGCGGTCGGTCAGTGGGCTTGGACGATCCATAAGTGGCTCGGTTCCAGCTGGACGTACTATCAGTAGTTCAGGCCCTGGAAGACCAGTAAGYRGCTTAGGACCTGGGCGAACAGTTAGTAGCCCAGGTCCCCCTTTAAAGCCCAAGTGTACTGTTGTGTCAGAAACAATATCTTCCAAGAATATTATTAGCCGAACCAGCAATGGACAGATAAATGGAATGAAACCTGCTCTCTCTGGCTACAGATCTGCCCAAGGT